GGGATCTTTTATTCCAGCTCATGAAACATGGTACCAACACTTTACATGTTGCGATTATATTTTTGTTCAGTGTAGTTAACATACCTTTTTAGTTGAGTCCTTGCTATCCGGGATCCTTGGTACGTCCCAACTCTGACGTTTTCTCATTGAAGTTGACATTTAAAATGGTTAGGGTGTCACACCCTGGCTCTGGGACTCATTATGTTGAGCCAGGGTGTGTTCATTCTATGTGTTTATTTCTATGTTGGTAGTTCTGTTGTGTCTATTTCTAGGTTGTTGTATTTCTTTGGTTGAGTGACTCCCAATCAGAGGTAACGAGTGTCAGCTGTTGGCTCGTTGTCTCTGATTGGGAGCCATATTTAAACTGTCTGTGTTCACCTTGTGTTTGTGGGTTTTTGTTCCTTATGCGGTCAGTGTAACCGTGGACTTCACGAGTCGTGTTTTGTTTGTAATTTAGATACTTTAATATAATAAAGTCATGTTCGTTTCACACGCTGCGCCTTGGTCTACTCTCCTTTACGACGATCGTGACAGAAAAACCCACCATACCAGGACCAAGCAGCGTGTCCAGGAACAGGCAACCTGGACGTGGGAGCAGCGTCGGAGGGTCGAGAGGCAACCCCAATAAATTTTTAGGGGGGGGCACACGGCATGGACGACGGGGCTGACGGAGGCAAAGATGGGGCGAATCCAGGAGGCCACCAGGCCAGGGGTACACCGCCCTGTACGTCCTGTGCGGATGCCTCACACAGAGTGTGTGAGGGTAGGCATTCAGCCAGGACGGGTGGTGGCCGCTGTTCACTCCAGGCCTCCTATCCGTCTCCACAGCCCGGTCCGGCCTGTTCCTGCCACCCGCACCAAGTCTACGGTGCGCGTCGCCAGCCCGACCCGGCCTGTTCCTGCCACCCGCACCAAGTCTACGGTGCGCGTCGCCAGCCCGACCCGGCCTGTTCCTGCCACTCGCACCAAACCTACGGTGCGCGTCGCCAGCCCGGTCCGGCCTGTTCCTGCCACCCGCACCAAGTCTACGGTGCGCGTCGCCAGCCCGACCCGGCCTGTTCCTGCCACTCGCACCAAACCTACGGTGCGCGTCGCCAGCCCGGTCCGGCCTGTTCCTGCCACCCGCACCAAGTCTACGGTGCGCGTCGCCAGCCCGACCCGGCCTGTTCCTGCCACTCGCACCAAACCTACGGTGCGCGTCGCCAGCCCGGTCCGGCCTGTTCCTGCCACCCGCACCAAGTCTACGGTGCGCGTCGCCAGCCCGACCCGGCCTGTTCCTGCCACTCGCACCAAACCTACGGTGCGCGTCGCCAGCCCGGTCCGGCCTGTTCCTGCCACCCGCACCAAGTCTACGGTGCGCGTCGCCAGCCCGACCCGGCCTGTTCCTGCCACTCGCACCAAACCTACGGTGCGCGTCGCCAGCCCGGTCCGGCCTGTTCCTGCCACTCGCACTAAGCCAGGGGTGCGAGAAGTCAGCCTGGTAAGGCCCGTTCCTCCTCCACGCACAAAGCCAGGGGTGCGAGTCGTCAGCCTGGTAAGGCCCGTTCCTCCTCCACGCACCAAGCCTACGGGGTGCGTCGTCAGCCCTGTCCGGCTCGTTCCTGCTCTCCGCACCAGGTCTGTGGTGCGCGTCGCCAGCCTATTCCGGTCCATTCCTGTTCCACGCACCAAGCCAGGGGCGAGTGTCGTCAGTCCGGCTCCGGCCAGCGGGGCTAGACAGGACCAGGGGTACTTTGGGGGGTTGGAGAGGAAGTGGGGATCAAGGCCGGAGCCAGAACCACCGCCGAGGAGGTATGCCCACCCAGCCCTCCCTTGTTTAGCCCTTATTGAGGCGCGGTCGCAGTCCGCGCCTTTAGGGGGGGGTACTGTCACACCCTGGCTCTGGGACTCATTATGTTGAGCCAGGGTGTGTTCATTCTATGTGTTTATTTCTATGTTGGTAGTTCTGTTGTGTCTATTTCTAGGTTGTTGTATTTCTTTGGTTGAGTGACTCCCAATCAGAGGTAACGAGTGTCAGCTGTTGGCTCGTTGTCTCTGATTGGGAGCCATATTTAAACTGTCTGTGTTCACCTTGTGTTTGTGGGTTTTTGTTCCTTATGCGGTCAGTGTAACCGTGGACTTCACGAGTCGTGTTTTGTTTGTAATTTAGATACTTTAATATAATAAAGTCATGTTCGTTTCACACGCTGCGCCTTGGTCTACTCTCCTTTACGACGATCGTGACATAGGGTTAGGTAAGGGTTATGGGTAAGGGTTTAGGGTAGGTATGTCACAAGGATTCCGGACAGCACTAACCTTTTTAGTTGTTTTGATAAATGGCATGACAAAAACCAAGCCAAAGTGTTTATTTTTGGTTATGGCCAATTTGATTGCCATTGTTGGAAGGTTGATAGGCCTGTCTCTTGTTAGTTATAGTATCATCAATCACACTACCCTGAGGTTGAACATGTACTTATTGTACAATAGCTGTCAGTTCTGGACCCAAACACATTTACACTTTTACACAATATCTGAGTGTGATGTTTTCTCTGTATTCTGGAGGTATATACACACCTGTTCTGAGAGGATACAACCTTCGGTACCAGGCCAAAAGCGCATTACAAAGCAGGGAAAAAATGAAGACAGTGAAGCAGTCAGAACAGGTTCAATCTTAATCTATGGAAAGTGAAAAACACCCTTTGATTTGAGGTAATGCCCCCCCTCCTCTCTCCTTTTTTGGGGAGTGGTATGGGGGACAGATGTGAGAGAGCACTGGCCAATGGTGAGCAAAGGGGGGATGGATTGGACTGCTCTCTGGGTGTCCCTTCTTTTAAAACTCCTGTGCTCTGTCTAACTCACAATCCTCGTATGACTGGGTATAGAGACAGGAGCAGGCTTCCAACCAGCATCATCCACACCTGAGAACACTCAAAGACTCTGTAGCTGTCCCATTTTGAAAATAAACACATTTTCCTCTTGACTTGACACTATAATACAGAGAGAAAGAAGGCATCCAAGTTTGTGATTGTGAGAGGGACACCATGTGGGACTTTACAAAGATGACACTACTCCTGTCTTTGCTAGTGGCAGTGGCCGTGGCTCAAGGTACGTCAAGTTAATGTCCTCACAATGGCATGTTTATTTGTATTAATGATTGATATGCTATAAATTAGCCAACATAAATCAGAGTTTTCAAACATATAATTTTTGAAGTGTGAACTGTGTTTTAAGATGTTGTTTAATCTATCCCATAAAAAGTAACTTAAATGAATTTGTGCATTTATCAGCAGAATATTTTCCACTAATTTTTCATAATATATGACACTGTGTTTTGTATCATTGCCTTTGTTTGGGATGCCATTTAACTGTCACTGTGGTAAGCAATGTCATTACTCAAATGAGAAATGAGAGAAGTTCATAAGTGCCAATTCAGCCCTGCACCCTGAACAACTTCCTCATTCTGACACACAATGTCAATGATCCACTGCTTGTCTGTAGTAGCGCGCTCTTGGTTTTTACAGTATATGAGGAAAATAGCGACAGCTCTCACACTTTGATTTAAACGTTTGAAAAAGTTATTCAAATTGTGTTTATGGTAATTTCATACTTGCACAGATGTCTGTCCTCCTGAACTTAAACTTTAGAAGGTGAGAAAGTAGCCTGTCCCAGTGGATGTCAGTGTTGGACCAACAGTGGCCCTTTAAAGGCTCGGACATACCAATGCTGCTTTTCGACTGTAACACCGGTGTTACACTAGTGAATACGCCCTTATGTTATACTAGGGAAATTTTGTTTCCATAACTAGGGCTGACGGTGAGGAATTGTGAAGAGCAGAATCAACAACCTCTGCATAATCAAAACAGTTGCTTTGTGAGAAGGTGTTAAAGTTCACAGTAAATATGATATTTGCACTGACCCTGGCACTGGCCCTGTATATAGCTTACTTACATTCTCGTGAAACTTGAAACAGTTAGCTATTGTTATGTAAATGCCAGCTGAAAAGTACCAGTGGCCTGGCTTTGGCCCCAAGTGATAGCAGGTCCACCGGAGCCATGACCCAGTGAAACACGGGTGCCGGCCCGCGTAGATGGAAACAGAAAAGTCTGAGCCTTTTTGGTAAAACACTGGGGTAAACTCTTTATGGAAATGCACCACAATAGCGTTTGCCGGCCGAGAGTACTTAGCACCTCTGAACAGAGTGACAGACGTAATTTGCGAACCGAGTGCAAACTGATTTTACATGTAGAATTGTGAAAATGTCAGCGGTCAGACATCCACCAGCGGGTGGTCCCTAAAACACAGCGCGAATAACGAACAGCAGATCAACATTCAGTGTGCTGTGTGTGGTCCTTTAGGTGTTAGTGGTTTGATCCTACTGTAGCACCATAGGGATGCTGTCTGTCTCTGCAGACCCACCACTGGAGGTGTTAATCATGTGGTGTTATGTCATCAGCACGCTAATTTTACTAACATGCTGTCATGTTAATGAGAAGCAGATGGATGTTTGGGGCTTGCTCTGGTCTAGTTGCAACACATGTTTCTCTGAGGTTGATTGTACAACGTCCTTGTTAGGGATCAGGGCCCTTTAAATTTACATTTAAAGGTAATTTCCAATTGAGCCTACATATGCAGCGTTTACCGTGAATGCATTCTCCGTGATCGGATTGAATCTAGTCTGTTATAATGGATGGATAGAATTTAGTGCATGTACAGTTTTGCTTGTACAGAAGAAATCTCACACTAACTAGATGTTTGATAGAATGGACAGTGATGAATTCACTCGCCAACACATTGTGGCAGACATTGTGGTTAGTATTTGTCCCAATCTCACCTCAATACATTAATCAGTGGCTGCAGACTCCTCGTGGGACTCAATCTGCACTCACCAAGAAAACAAGTAACAACTCACTCTTCCTTTTACTATTAATTTCCCCTCCTGTTGCCTCTCTCACACCTTCCCTCCATCATTCTCTCCATTACGCTCAGCGTTCAGAGATTTATGATCTGTTTCTCTATTTAAGGAGACAGCTGCTCTGCTCCTGGATGCTCAGCGCTACTGAGGTACCGAGACGGAACACTGTGACTGACATTACTCAGTCAGTCAGGCTAAACTTAGTCCTAGGTCTTGGTGGAGTGTTTTAATTAGCCAAATGCCAAGAAGTCTGCCTGTAATGAACTGTAATGTTCTGTGGCCGTGCCAGTCTCGAGATAGAGGTGGAGGTGGGCCAACTGGGACCATGAAGAAGCCTTCTCAGAGCTCCAAAATCAATGTTGTCCTGTGCTAATCGGCCTCATTCAGAGGGACTAGCTAATTCTCCAGATGTTGGCCACAGACTGAATGGAGAGCAGTGGTGGGTGTCTAGCCCATTGACTTTAACCTCTACGGGATCAGTGTCCCATATACGGGACGGTTGAGCTACCGTGCGCTAATGTGATTAGCATGACTGTTGTAATTAACAGCAAATTGTCCAGGACATAGACATGTCTTATATGGGCAGAAAGCTTAAATTCTTGTTAATCTAACTGCACTGTCCAATTTACAGTAGCTTTTACAGTGAAAAAAATACCATGCTATTGTTTGAGGAGAGTGCACAACAACAACAAATGTATTATTTGTATTATCTTTTACCAGATCTAATGTGTTATATTCTCCTACATTAATTTCCCATTTCCACAAACTTTAAAGTGTTTCCTTTCAAATGGTATCAAGAATATGCATATCCCTGCTTCAGGTCCTGAGCTACAGGCAGTTTTGGTATGTCATTCTAGGTGAAAATTGAAAAAAAGGGTCCGATCCTTAAGAGGTTAATGAGAAAGGGAGGGAGAACAATCGCCACATCAAGGCCCTTCAAATTAAATGACTCCGGTTTCTCTCCGGCTACCGTTTGATCATGCTGATGTCTGCGTTTGAGGAGCAATGTACACTAGCATTACTTTCTGAGACATAGGAATAGGCTAATGTCCAAGAAGCAGTTATTTCTTGAGCTCCTCTATAGCCATTGTAGAAGCACAGGCAAGCACTTGCAGAAATACTGTATTAATGGGGAAATACCATTGAGGCCATTTGTGAGTTTTTTGTAGCTTGAATTAGGACATTTAGTGTGGTAGAATAAGTTGACGTGAAGAACACAAAGCCTCTGTTATCCTTTTTTAAATCCCCCCAAATCGTGTGGTTGATTTGCATCATTAGTTAATGTCAGGGGCAAAACTGTATTTAGGATAATGGAGCACAGATGCTGCTGACCAATAATCAGTCAGCGGCTCCCCAACCAGCCTACAGCCAAGAGAGAGGAAGAGAGGGAGCGAGGGAGGGAGTGAGAGAGACAGACAGACCGACTGAGAGCGAAAGAGAGAGAAAAGCAGAGAGACGGAGCGAAAGAGAGCAGACCGTCTAATTCTTCCACTACAGTACACCTCAGCTAGAGTATGGGCCAAAGAAACAAAACAGCTTCCACATGTCTGCAAGGCCATGGCATAAACACACACACACACACACACACACACACACACATACACACCCTTACTTTCTGTTCTGGGCAATCATTTATGTCCATTAATCCATACTGGAAGGCAGAATTAACTTTTCAGCCCAATGGTTTGCCACAAACCCTTTTCTAAATAAAATCCTTCTGATTTTGGACAAATACCTCCTTATTACCTAAATCCAAATAAGGCCTAACACTTCACTGCACACACCTGTTATTGCACTTAAGTGTGGGGCTGTGGCATGGCAAAGCTGCATCAACACTGTGTGGAGAGAGGCTCAGCGTTCAGGCCAGTGCTCAGCCCAGTGCTCAGCCGCCACTCCATCCAAGACATTTCATAACACAGAAAAGTGTTTTTACATTTTCTTCTTGTAAAGGCTCTGGAATATTTTAAACAACCTCCAGACCTGCTGAAAAGCCTGTCTCTGCCAACTAATCTGTCTGGGCTGCCTGTCTAATCTGACTGAAGTCTTTCTCTGGGTATTAAACTTCCTAAACATATACTTTTATTGTCTTGCCACTTTTTATTAGCATGAGGGAATGGCCAAGTGTGCATGCTGCTCTGTCTCAGAAAACACCAGACAGAGCTGCTGAGAATGCCCTTTAGAAGGGCCTGCAGTATTAATAGATGGTTGTCACGCTCTGGCTCCGGGACTTTGTGTGTTGAGCCAGGGTGTGTTCGTTTCGTGGTGTTTTGTTTGGTTGGGTGGTTCTATGTGTTGTATTTCTTTGTTTGGTTCAGTGACTCCCAATCGGAGGTAACGAGTGTCAGCTGTCGGCTCGTTATCTCTGATTGGGAGCCATATTTAATCGGTACGTTTTCCTGTGGGTGTTGTGGGTTTTTGTTCATTTCGGTTCGTGTGTAACCGTAGACGTCACGTTGTCGTTTTGATCATTTCTATTAATAAAAGATGTTCACATTCAACGCTGCGCCTTGGTCCTCCTCCTCTATGTCTGACGATCGTGACAGAAAAACCCACCAAGATGGGACCAAGCAGCGTGTCCAGGAGCCGTCGCCAGGGAGATCCCTCACAGATCTCCTTCGCCTCCTGGACTGGGTCAAGCCGAGGGAGGAAGACAAGGGCTTGACGCTATGGCAGAAGGGCGAGAGGCTGGCGAGGTCTATGGAGACCTGGTCCACGGGTAGGAGAGACGCCCCGAAAATTTTTAGGGGGGGGCTCGAGACGTCGGACCAGCAGGAGGCCGCGATAGAGCGGCCCAGTGGGTTGCTGGAGAAGGCCGCCGGGTTACGGGGGCCACTGGTCAAAGAGGGGATGGAAGGTGTGGAGGCACGGCGAGAGGTACTGGCGTGTGTTGCCAGTCCGGTCCGGCCCGTTCCAGAGCCCGGTGTAGAACCAGTGGTGTGTGTCCCCAGTACGGTCCGGTCTATTCCTGCTCCCCGCATCGAACCTGCGGTGCGCGTCGCCAGCCCAGTCCGGCCCGTTCCTGCTCTCCGCGCCAGGTCGGGGGTGCGCGTCGCCAGCCCAGTCCGGCCCATCCAAGCTCCCCGCACCAGGTCAGTGGTGCGCGTCGTCAGCCCGGTCCGGCTCATTCCTGCTCTCCGCGCCAAGTCTGTGGTGCGTCTCGTCAGCCCGGCTCTGCCCGTTCCTGCTCCCCGCACCAGGTCGGGGGTGCGCGTCGCCAGCCCAGTCCGGCCCATCCAAGCTCCCCGCACCAGGTCAGTGGTGCGCGTCGTCAGCCCGGTCCGGCTCATTCCTGCTCCCCGCACCAGGTCAGTGGTGCGCGTCGTCAGCCTGGTCCAGCCCGTTCCTGCTACTCGCACCAAACCAGGGATGCGAGTCGTCAGCCTGGTCCAGCTCGTTCCTCCTACACGCACCAAGCCAGGGGCGCGTGTCGTCAGTCCGGCTCCGACCAGCGGGGCTAGACAGGACCAGGGGTACTTTGGGGGGTTGAAGAGGAGGTGGGGATCAGGGCCGGAGCCAGAACCACCGCCGAGGAGGTATGCCCACCCAGCCCTCCCTGGTTTAGCCTTATTGAGGCGCGGTCGCAGTCCGCGCCTTTAGGGGGGGGTACTGTCACGCTCTGGCTCCGGGACTTTGTGTGTTGAGCCAGGGTGTGTTCGTTTCGTGGTGTTTTGTTTGGTTGGGTGGTTCTATGTGTTGTATTTCTTTGTTTGGTTCAGTGACTCCCAATCGGAGGTAACGAGTGTCAGCTGTCGGCTCGTTATCTCTGATTGGGAGCCATATTTAATCGGTACGTTTTCCTGTGGGTGTTGTGGGTTTTTGTTCATTTCGGTTCGTGTGTAACCGTAGACGTCACGTTGTCGTTTTGTTTTGTCCTTGTGTACCCTTTATCTAAAGCACCACATTAAAAGCAGCTTTATGACATGAATGGGAGAGAGGTGAACACACACCTCAAATAGCGACGTTCCCAGAATAATGAGCAGAGGCCAGTAGGCACAACAACGCCAGGCATACCAGACATTGGCACCAGAATGGCCAAGCCAAGGCAGTTTAGGTACAGAGGGTTGCTAACATTACAGAGACAATGCTGTGGCTGGGGTAGAAATTCCAAACACCCAGTTGAGAGTTCCCCCTCCATGACTAATAGAACATTGCCTGGTATTCAGCTTTATTAAGAGAAGCTAGCCTGTGTGTCTATATTAAGGGGAGAAAGAGGGTATGTTAATAGGTACAGAAACATACTTGGAGCCGTTGTTAATGTATTGTTTCCATTACATGGGACTGTACTTTGACCTCTTCCAGTGTCTTGTTACCGGGTTGGTGTTTCATGAGGGTCATGTCGAGGTAGGAGAGAGGCCTCTATTAGGGAAGGTTAACCAGGAGTAGAGACCTCAGAGGAGAAAATCTGGTTAAGTTTAAGTGTGTTTCCTCACACATAATAGTGTGTTTTAACACATTTTAGATTAAGTAAAGCCACTCACGTACCATTAGCATGAAACAGTGCATATAAAATCATTGGCTTTTAAAATTCACATATAAAGTGTTAACAAGGCACTCAAAGGAACGTTAAAAAGTCAAAGTCAACCACTGGAACCGAGGCCAGTGCACTTAGACACCTGCCATAGCTGAATACAGAACATTTGTTTATTTTACCTTTAACCAGGTAGGCCAGTTGAGAACAAGTTCTCATTTACAACTGCGACCTGGCCAAGATAAAGCAAAGCAGTGCGATAAAAACAACAACAACACAGAGTTAAATATGGGATAACATAACGTGGCCCTTTGATCAACTATGAATACCTACATAAAATGCCATTATGCCAAACAATATCTCTGTTTCTAATTCCCAAAAGCAGGAAGTAGAATAGGCACAACCCCACACAATTAACTAACGATGGCATTGGTACTTACGTACACTCCCTGTAACAAACTGCTCCATCAAGCCACAGCCACAGCAGTGACTGCAACCCACACGTCTTTAAACTCTAATCAAATCAACGTTCATTTAATGCGACAAGGTCACTTGGATGTGTGTCCAAACCCAACATGCATCCGCTCATTAATGTTGGTGTTGTTTTCCTCCACAGTTCATCTAGTAATGATTAGGAAAGCTACACAGAGAGAGAAACTGTTAGAGGTAGTTTGCTGCATAGGTATTCACATCTGCGCTGCAGAGGTTGTGTGGAGAGACATTTGTTTCTATTTATCCAGTCATTCCATCATGTCAATTAAGGAAAACTGATATAAAATATGAAAACCCCTGTCTATGATATACAATATCAAGCTAGATATGAAAAGCCCACCTTGCATTGACTGATAGCACATTGCTTTACTATTACAGATACACCTTCAGTATGTAGGCCTATGAGCGCAGCGGTCAGTCTGGTTTAACCAGGCTGCTAAGACTGACCTGGAACTTACTGTACGTAATACAACTTGTAAGAGAATCCATTCACTGGGGTGACCACCATACTGTGAAAAAATGCTCCAAAGTCATAAAATTGGAAGAGAATCGTGTTGGCGTAACAAAAAAGAGCCACAGTCAGCAATAACAACCAGAGGGACTGGACTGACGCTTGCCCCTGCATTGGGTGACTTTGTGACTGTGTCCAAAAACCCAGCAGTGTTCCTCCTAAAGTGGTAAGCGCTCTCACAGACAGCCAGTCAGTCAGGCAGGCTGTGAGACAGTCCATGGTGTGAATGGCTTTCTCAGGCCGCGATGGCTTCAGGCAGTTGGTTGGGAACCGAAAGAAAGGACGCTGTTAGTCCTTTGATGCCTAACGCTGCCACATATGTGGGGAGTGAATGTAAGTGTGCTTGTGTGTGTAATATCAAATGGGATGACTGCTGCACTGCTGTCTGTAAAATTCAATCAGCATAATGACAAGATCAGATGCAGATACAGAGGGAAGTCAGAGAAGGGAAGAGAACACAGATGTAGAGATGACAGAGGGACTGATGGATCTGCTGTGGTCAACTGGACCTGGTTCATTGGCTCCTGGTTCTACTGGCAATTGCATTCGGAAAGTATTCAGACCCCTTGACTTTTTCCACATTTTGTTACGTTACAGCCTTATTCTAAAATTGATTAAATAGTTTTCCCCCCCTCATCAGTCTACACACAATACCCTATAATGACAAAGCAAATTTTTTTACAAATAAAAAACTGAAATACCATATTTACATATTTATTCAGTACTTTATTGAAGCACCTTTGCCAACGATTACAGCCTCAAGTCTTCTTGGGTATGATGCTACAAGCTTGGCACACCTGTATTTGGGGAGTTTCTCCCATTCTTCTCTGAAGATCCTCTCAAGCTCTGTCAGGTTGGATGGGGAGAGTCGCTGCACAGCTATTTTCAGGTCTCTCCAGAGATGTTTGATCGGGTTCAAGTCCGGGCTCTGGCTGGGCCACTCAAGGACATTCAAAGACTTGTCCCGAAGCCACTCCTGCATTGTCTTGGCTGTGTGCTTAGGGTCATTGTCCTGTTGGAAGGTGAACCTTCGCCCCAGTCTGAGGTCCTGAGAACTCTGGAACAGGTTTTCATCAAGGATCTCTCTGTACTTTGCTCCGTTCATCTTTCCCTCGATCCTGACTAGTCTCCCAGTCCCTGCTGCTGAAAAACATCCCCACATCATGATGCTGCCACCACCATGCTTCACCGTAGAGATGGTGCCAGGTTTCCTCCAGACGTGACGCTTGGCATTCGGGCCAAAGAGTTCAATCTTGATTTCATCAGACCAGGGAATCTTGTTTCTCACGGTCTGAGAGTCCTTTAGGTGCCTTTTGGCAAACTCCAAGCTGGCTGTCATGTGCCTTTTACAGAGGAGTGGCTTCCGTCTGGCCACTCTACCATAAAGGCCTGATTGGTGGAGTGCTGCAGAGATGGTTGTCCTTCTGGAAGGTTCTCCCATCTCCACAGAGGAACTCCAGAGCTCTGTCAGAGTGACCATTGGGGTCTTTTTCACCTCCCTGACCAAGGCCCTTCTCCCCTGATTGCTCAGTCTGGCCAGGTGGCCAGCTCTAGGAAGAGTCTTGGTGGTTCCAAACTTCTTCCATTTAAGAATGATGTAGGCCATTGTGTTCTTGGGGACTTTCAATGCTGCAGACATTTTTTGGTACCCTTCCCTGAACTGTGCCACGACACAATCCTCTCTCGGAGGTCTACGAACAATTCCTTCGACCTCATGGCTTGGTTTTTGCTCTGACATGCACTGTCAACTGTAGGAACTTATATAGACAGGTGTGTGCCTTTCCAAATCATGTCCAATTAATTGAATTTACCACAGGTGGACTCCAATCAAGTTGTAGAAACATCTCAAGGATGATCAATGGAAACAGGATGCCCCGGAGCTCAATTTCGAGTCTCATAGCTGGGTCTGAATACTTATGTAAATAAGGTATTTCTGTTTTTTGAAACATTTATAAAAACCTATTTTCGCTTTGTCATTATGCGGTATTGTGTGTAGATTGATGAGATGTTACATTTTTTAATAAATTTTCGAATAAGGCTGTACCGTATCAAAATGTGAAAAAGGTCAAGGGGGTCTGAATGCTTTCCGAATGCACTGTATATATATATATATATATACCTATATATATATATATACCTATACCTATACCGGGGTATTTGGAAATAGCCACAGGATGGTTTTTCAATACCGTCAATACCTAAACTACAGTATTTCTTTAAAGTTTTTTTTGTTTTTATCATATTGAATAATTGTATATACTTTTAAGTAAATACCTGCAGTCAACTTGTGCAATTTGTTAGGAGATAAAGAAGATTGTGTTCTTCATTTCACTTGTCACATAATATTTCATTATGAAGCTCACTGGTAGTCCCCAGTCACATGGTGTTTGTTTACAAGCGCAATGACAAGAGACTGGAGCCTTGTGAGTCACTCCCTGTTGTGCAGCGTGCGAGAGGTGATCTAGTTCTAAAAAATAAATAACGGGATTTATGCTTTGCTATGAAGCCCCTAAATAAAAGATCTGGTGCAAACAATTACCTTCAGAAGTCACATAATTAGTTAAATAAAGTCCATCTGTGTGCAATCTAAGTGTCACATGATCTCTCACATGATCTCAGTATATATACACCTGTTCTGAAAGGCCCCAGAGTCTGCAACACCACTAAGCAAGGGGCACCACCAAACAAGCGGCACCATGAAGACCAAGGAACTCTCCAAACAGGTCAGGGACAAAGTTGTGGAGAAGTACAGATCAGGGTTGGGTTATAAAAAAATATCCGAAACTTGGAACATCCCATGGAGCACCATTAAATTGCTTATTAAAAAATGGAAAGAATATGACACCACAACAAACCTGCCAAGAGAGGGCCGCCCACCAAAGCACACGGACCAGGCAAGGAGGGCATTAATCAGAGAGGCAACAAAGAGACCAAAGATACTCCACAGCGGAGATTGGAGTATCTGTCCATAGGACCACTTTAAGCCGTACACTCCACAGAGCTGGGCATTATGGAAGAGTGGCCAGAAAAAAGCCATTGCTTAAAGAAAGAAATAAGCAAACACGTTTGGTGTTCGCCAAAAGGCATGTGGGAGACTCCCCAAACATATGGAAGAAGGTACTCTGGTTAGATGAGACTAAAATTGAGCTTTTTGGCCATCAAGGAAAACAACATGTCTGGCGCAAACCCAACACCTCTCATCACCCCGAGAACACCATCCCCAGAGTGAAGCATGGTGGTGGCAGCATCATGCTGTGGGGATGTTGGTGGTCCTCTGTAGCTCAGCTGGTAGAGCACGGCGCTTGTAACGCCAAGGTAGTGGGTTCGATCCCCGGGACCACCCATACACAAAAATGTATGCACGCATGACTGTAAGTCGCTTTGGATAAAAGCGTCTGCTAAATGGCATATTATTATTATATTATTATGTTTTTCATCGACAGGGACTGAGAAACTGGTCAGAATTGAAGGAATGATGGATGGCGCTAAATACAGGGAAATTCTTGAGGGAAACCTGTTTCAGTCTTCCAGAGATTTGAGACTGGGACGGAGGTTCACCTTCCAGCAGGACAATGACCCTAAGCAACACTTGTGTGGTTTAAAGGGAAACATTTAAATGTCTTGGAATGGCCTAGTCAAAGCCCAGACCTCAATCCGATTGGTATGACTTGAAGATTGCTGTACACCAGCAGAACCCATCCAACTTGAAGGAGCTGGAGCAGTTTTGCCTTGAAGAATGGGCAAAAATCCCATTGGTTAGATGTGCCAAGCTTATAGAGACATACCCAAAGAGACTTGCAGCTGTAATTCCTGCAAAAGGTGGCTCTACAAAGTATTGACTTTGCGGGGTGAATAGTTATGCACGCTTAAGTTCTCTGTTTTTTTGTCTTATTTCTTGTTTGTTTCACAATAAAAAATATTTTGCATCTTCAAAGTGGTAGGCATGTTGTGTAAATCCAATGATACAACCCCCCCCAAAAATATATTTTAATTCCAGGTTGTAAGGCAACAAAATAGGAAAAATGCCAAGGTGGGTGAATACTTTCGCAAACCACTGTATGGTAAAATGTTTATTCTATTCTACTGAGCCATTTACTTTATGTTCTTATCTTTTATTATTTCTTATTATTGTTGCATTGTCGAGAAGGAACCTGCAAGTAAGCATTACGTTGGATGGTGTATTCCATGTGTATCCCGTACATACGACTAATAAAACTTCAAATTTGCTCAAACCCTACATCCCAATCCGAGCACTCCGTTCCACCACCTCTGTTCTCTTGTGTTACGCAGAGTGGAACAGGGGAACCCAAGAGCAGACTCAGACGAGGAGACTGGGATGAAGTAACCAAGATATTTATTGAAACACAAGGGGAGGATGGAGTGCAGGTCAGGGGAAACTGCTGGAAACCAGGTGCGGAGGCTAAGGCTGGAGCGAGGGAGGCTAAGGCTGGAGCGAGAGAGGCTGAGGCTGGAGCGAGGGGGGTTGAGACAGGGTGAACAGGTCCGGAGGGGAATCCAAGGGAATAGTAGAGTGGGGAATCCAGGACAGGGTAGCAGGATGACGAGACGTAGGACTGGAGACAAGGATCAGAGTCGGAGCGGGCAGAACTGTAGCGGAGAGGAAACCAGCGTCAGGCAAAGGAAAACATGCACAACAGGATAACAGGATCTGAATAGTAACTAACGGCTAGAACCGTAGACTGACTGAGCAGAGATTATGATCTGGCAGTGTGGAAGTGGCAGGACTGAGTATTTGTAGAGGTCTTGATTATGGAACAGGTTGCAGCTGGTGGGGATCTGCTCTGACTCCAGCACACCTGTCTCCGCCCACACAGTCACACACACACAGAGAGAGAGAGAGGTAGAGGGAGAGAGTATTGGGGGAGTGGCGGCAGGTCAAGGAGACACAGGATGAGCAGTAGAGGGCGATGCAGGAACAGATGTGACATCTTGACCATCCCACCCCTACACGAGGGCAGCTCCCACTCAGCCCAGCCAAAGCTCTTCTCTGTCCTGGCATCCCAATAGTGGAACAAGCTTCCCCCTAAAGTGAGGATAGTGGAGCCCATCTTTCGAAAACGTATGAAACCCTACCTATTTGAAGAGTATCTTAAATAACTCTCATGGAAATGCAAATGTGAATCTAGATGGAGCTTTTCCAGACTGATTGCTGACATTTAGCTAGCTTGCGGGGGCGGTAAAACAGAACCAGGCTTGTCTTTGTATTCTGGAAACACAGACACGCCAGGGGCAGTGCACCGAGATCGGGTAACCCACCCCATGACTTCCCTGTGGCCTTCAACCACGGCCCACGGAGTGAGACGTATACATTCCTCTCACATTCACAGACACTCAGACAACCTGATGAGAGCATGCCGAGGACCCACTACTCAGACACGTAGCTCCGCAGACTAGAAAACTGTCATGCTTTCGCCCCCATAAATCTAGTTCTCCCTGTTGTAAAACGTGGTGGATCCATTGAGCAGAGCTCCTGAGGTCACTGTTACAGTATTACAGTATGGTAGTGGTACAGGTTGGTGGTCATGGTGTAATGGTGTATTCATGGTGTGGTTTTCCCCATCCAGGACCCATCTGGAACAGCTCTCTGCTCAAGAAGTGGAGCCAGACAGACAGGAGCAGGAAGCTGGCCTACAACACGCTGACCGAGCTACAGCAGACCACAGGTGAGTGAGCTCACTCCTAATGCCACCTGGTTTACCAATAGAACCTGGGAGGGAGGAAAACTCACACAACACAGTCTTCTGCGCCAGACAGAGTGATTTTCCCCCTTTGATGTACTCCTAGACTTTACACACCCATGGTAACAGCAGAACATTGACTGTTAATATGTACAGTTTTATCACATACTAGTAACATTAATCCATACAATTTATCAGAGTTAGGGGTCAAGTCCACTTTTAAGCAAAGGCCAAGGGTGAGACACCATGAGGTTTTTCCCCGATTCATTAACTGAGTTTGAATTGATTTCCAGAAATGGAATGACATGCCTGTATTGTGTAATTCATGTTTAGTTCCAACTAGACATTCACATTCCATTATGCTTAGATTCAGTCTTGTTTCTTTGATTGAGCAGTCTGGTGAAAAGGGACAATGGTGTTAACTTGCCAGGATCATAGCAGAGCAAGAAAATAGCATGGAAATAAGAGTCTACTTTATATTCACATGAGTGCAGTTGAACTATTCATTACAAAGTCATATCTAAGCCAACACATAATATCCAAGTTCAGGAAATTAAAACGAAGTACCTAATGTCACCACAGGGGCGAAAAGCCCTGGATTTTGATAACTAGAGAGAGGTCACTGGGTCTGTGTTGAGATTGTCTACCTACAACAACACAGAGAACACATCCTGATAATGTCTCCCAATAGATCACCTCACTTCGCTCTTGATGCCTTGCAAGGGTCTCGTTCCAATGAAGCAATCTATTATTCAGAGAAAGAAAGATCCCATGGTATGTTGCTAATGAAATGCAGTGAGGTTGTTTCTTCACATCTTTGGAAATCCTCAGAGCTGAACATGTGGCAGACAAAAGCTAGACAGTGTGTCTCTTTCCCTCCCTCCTCCTCATCTGACTGCCTGAGTTGAGGCCGCAGGGCTTGGAAAGAGTTTGGTCAACGCAGGCTCCCCTGTGTGTCTCAACTCAGCAGAAAATTGCAGTAGCAGACTCTTCTCTTAAACGTTGCAACCTTCCTCCTGGTTGTGACCCGTATCTCCCTGTCTTTGTCTCCCTCTGCATGTATGGCAGGTGTGACTGAATGGACGTCCTGGTTCAACATCGACCATCCAGGGGGGAATGGAGACTATGAGCGGTTAGAGGCCATCCGGTTCTACTACAGGGAGAGGGTGTGTGTCCGGCCTGTGGCCATGGAGGCCCGCACCACAGATTGGGTAGCAGCAGCAGAGACCGGAGAGGTAACCCACTCCAGCCTAGAGAAGGGGTTCTGGTGCATCAACAAGGAGCAGCCCTACGGACGCATTTGCTCCAACTACCATGTCCGCTTCCAGTGCCCACCAGGTACCAACAGACCACCATACCCCATTCACATGTGTTATAAAGTAGATGTGTTATAATAGCTTTGTGTACAGGATTCTGAACCCATGCTGTATTTATGGGACAGTAGAATGTTGTGAGGAGATGGCCAATTATCCCTTTCCCTTACTTACTGTGCTGTATACTGATTCAAAACAGAACATCAGTGGAACAAAGGCCACTTAAGCCTTGCATCTGCTACTGTGTTATGGACACTAATGATCTGTTTTGTCTTTTCCCAAACTGTGAAAGAACTGTGCTTGTACATAGTTCAGTAAAAGTTATTTTTGCAAACTTCAGGCCAGCTTTCTTACTTGCTTCTCAGTCCAGGCCTAGCTTCTGGGTCTGAGTCCATTCTACCCATTATATCTCTATGTGGAGAACTCACTCACCCTTGTCACTCTGTCTTGTTTCTGTGTGTCCAGTTCAGGCCTACTGGACAGACTGGGCCGCCTGGGGAACTTGCTCTGCTACAGCCTGTAATGACGTGGGCATCCAGGTCCGCAAGAGGAAGTGTATGAGCATCCAGCCCCTGCCCCTGCTGCTGGTGCCCCCATGCCAGGGGCACCACACGGAGAGGAGGGAGTGTGCCACCCCACCATGTGAAGGTACCCTCCCAACACGACCTATACATAGACCTACAGCAGGGGTGTCAAACTCATTCCATGGAGGGCAGTGTCTGCTGATTTTTGGTTTCTCCTTTCAATTTGTGTCCAGTTAAGACCTAGACAACCAGGTGAGAGGAGTTCCTAACTAATCAGTGACCTTAATTCATCAATCAAGTACAAGGGAGGAATGAACCTGCAGACACTCGGCCCTTCGTGGAATGAGTTTGACACGTGACGTACAGTATACCATGCCAATCTTTAACATCAAGCCAATCATGATAATTATCGTGGACATTTTTACCTACTTCATCCTCTGCCAAGAGACATTCAGCTGATCAGAGTCATCACTGACATGAAGACAATCAGTGTAATTTATCTGCAGCCAACAGATCTGAGATGTAGCAGTAGGTACATTAGCGATTAGATTGTTAATAAGTACAGAGACTACCCCCACAGTAGAGCCTTTGGCAGCAGTATAGTTTCCTACACATAAAAGCCTCTTCTCTCTAGGTGTCACATTTTTCCTAAATTCTCCCGAACATGTGCTTCTTCCAATTATCTGTCACTGTCGTCAACACACCTTTGATGTTCATAAAGCTCCAATGGCTTTGATCAGGAGGAGGCTGTCACTGTGCACTTTCCTCTCTAAGGGGAATCAGTGGCAGCACTGTCTCTGCTATATCCCACAGAAAGGAGGAAACTACCTGACACGTAACACTTTCATCAGTTGACCAGTAGCCTGGCAAAAGTCCTGTGATAATACTTTTACAATGCATCTTTCCTTGAAGCTACACTTACAGTTCAGTTACAGTTGTGTATTATCTGGATCATTTATGTTTACTTTGTGTTATTTGACTAGCCAAGTGGACTCAGTGGAGTCCATGGGGAGCATGCTCGGTGACCTGTGGCAAGGGTCGCAGGATCAGGAGGAGGACCTGTGTGAGAACCTCTTTAACAGTGCAGTGTGTGGGACGAGCGGCTGAAATCCAGAAATGTGGGAAAAATCCATGCCCACGTAAGTTGTAAATCTAAAGAGACAGAAAAAATTGAAATAATCATAATAATCATGTGTAAAAGTATACTGAATGTATTGTGTGTTTATGTGTATCTGCAGCCAATTGTAAGCGTGAGTGTCCCAAGGGTCGGCCCAATGTGGACTGCAGTCGCTGTGTGTGTGAGGGCCACGTGCTCCAGGGAGAGGTCCTCAGTATGACCGGTGTTCCTGTAGCGGGGGCCAGGATAGCGCTGGCCAGCCGGCCCAAGATCATCCACGCCCGCACTGATGCCAAGGGCCTCTTCAGACTCCCAGGGGTCTGCTCCAGCTCCCCCACCCAGCTCTACATTCGCAAGGAGAAGTTTGCCCCCATTACCGCCTCCACCTCCAGCAACAGCACCGGGTCATCCTGGTTAAGGGTGGTCCTAAAGTCCGCAGGCGAGTCACGCTTAATAACATTAACAAACAAAAGCCCAATGATAAAGTATGTTCTCTATGTACTTTATACTGGGTTGAGCCAGTCAGTCTGTCTGTATAACCATCCAACCACTAGAGTCAAACTAGGGGAAGGACATACAGTGGGGAGAACAAGTATTTGATACATTGCCGATTTTGCAGGTTTTCCTACTTACATAGCATGTAGAGGTCTGTAATTTTTATCGTAGGTACACTTCAACTGTGAGAGACGGAATCTAAAATAAAAATCCAGAAAATCACATTGTATGATTTTTAAGTAATTAATTTTCATTTTATTGCATGACATAAGTATTTGATCACCTACCAACCAGTAAGAATTCCGTCTCTCACAGACCTGTTAGTTTTTCTTTAAGAAGCCCTCCTGTTCTCCACTCATTACCTGTATTAACTGCACCTGTTTGAACTCGTTACCTGTATAAAAGACACCTGTCCACACACTCAAACAAACAGACTCCAACCTCTACACAATGGCCAAGACCAGAGAGCTGTGTAAGGACATCAGGGATACAATTGTAGACCTGCACAAGGCTGGGATGGGCTACAGGACAATAGGCAAGCAGCTTGGTGAGAAGGCAACAACTGTTGGCGCAATTATTAGAAAATGGAAGAACTTCAAGATGACGGTCAATCAACCTCGGTCTGGGGCTCCATGCAAGATCTCACCTCGTGTGGCATCAATGATCATGAGGAAGGTGAGGGATCAGCCCAGAACTACACGGCAGGACCTGGTCAATGACCTGAAGAGAGCTGGGGCCACAGTCTCAAAGAAAACCATTAGTAACACACTACGCCGTCATGGATTAAAATCCTGCAGCGCACGCAAGGTCCCCCTGCTCAAGCCAGCGCATGTCCAGGCCCGTCTGAAGTTTGCCAATGACCATCTGGATGATCCAGAGGAGGAATGGGAGAAGGTCATGTGGTCTGATGAGACAAAAATAGAGCTTTTTGGTCTAAACTCCACTCGCCGTGTTTGGAGGAAGAAGAAGGATGAGTACAACCCCAAGAACTCCATCCCAACTGTGAAGCATGGAGGTGGAAACATCATTCTTTGGGGATGCTTTTCTGCAAAGGGGACAGGACGACTGCACCGTATTGAGGGGAGGATGGATGGGGCCATGTATCGCGAGATCTTGGCCAACAACCTCCTTCCCTCAGTAAGAGCATTGAAGATGGGTCGTGGCTGGGTCTTCCAGCATGACAACGACCCGAAACACACAGCCAGGGCAACTAAGGAATGGCTCCGTAAGAAGCATCTCAAGGTCCTGGAGTGGCCTAGCCAGTCTCCAGACCTGAACCCAATAGAAAATCTTTGGAGGGAGCTGAAAGTCCGTATTGCCAAGCGACAGCCCCGAAACCTGAAGGATCTGGAGAAGGTCTGTATGGAGGAGTGAGCCAAAATCCCTGCTGCAGTGTGTGCAAACCTGGTCAAGACCTACAGGAAACGTATGATCTCTGTAATTGCAAACAAAGGTTTCTGTACCAAGTTCTGCTTTTCTGATGTATCAAATACTTATGTCATGCAATAAAATGCAAATGAAATACTTAAAGATCATACAATGTGATTTTCTGGATTTTTTATTTAGATTCCATCTCTCATAGTTGAAGTGTACCTATGATAAAAATGACAGACCTCTACATGCTTTGTAAGTAGGAAAACCTGCAAAATCGGCAGTGTATCAAATACTTGTTCTCCCCACTGTATAAATCAACAGGACAGTCTGAAGTAGTTGAGACCATTACACGCAAATATACACTATATATACAAAGGTATGTGGCCAACTCTTGAAATTAGTGGATTTGGCTATTTTAGCCACACCCATTGCTGACAGGTGTATAAAATCGAGCATACAGCCATGCAATCTCCATAGACAAACATTGGCAGTAGAATGGACTTACTGAAGAGATCAGTGACTTTCAACGTGGCATCCTTTCCAACAAGTCAGTTCATCAAATTTCTGCCCTGCTAGCGCTGACCTGGCCAACTGTAATTGCTGTTATTGTGAAGTGGAAACGTCTAGAAGCAACAACGACTCAGCCGCAAAGTGGTAGGCCACATAAGCTCACAGAACGAGATCGCCGAGTACTGAAGTGCATAGCGTGTAAAAATCATCTGTCCTCGGTTGCAACACTCCCTACCGAGTTCCAAACTGCCTCTGGAGGCAACGTCAGCACAATAACTGTTTGTCAGGAGCTTCATGAAATGGGTTTTCATGGCCGAGCAGCCGCACACAAGTCTAAGATCACCATGCGCAATGCCAAGCGTCGGCTGGAGGGGTGTAAAGCTCGCCGCCATTGGTCTCCGGAGCAGTGGAAATACGTTCTCTGGAGTGATGAATCAAGGCCCTTTCCTGTTTCAGCATGACAATGCCCCTGTGCACAAAGTGAGGTCCATACAGAAATGGTTTGTCAAGATCGGTGTGGAAGAACTTGACTGGCCTGCACAGAGCCCTGACCTCAACCCCATTGAACACCTTTGGGATGAATTGGAACGCCGACTGCGAGCCAGGCCTCATCGCCCAACATCAGTGCCCGACCTCACTAATGATCTTGTGGCTGAATGGAAGCAAGTTCCCGCAGCAATGTTCCAACATCTAGTGGAAAGCCTTTCCAGAAGAGTGGAGGCTGTTATAGCAGCAAAGGGGGGACCAACTCCATATTAATGCCCATGATTTTGGAATGAGATGTTCGACGAGCAGGTATCCACATACTTTTGGTCAAGTAGTGTATATACAGTGAGGTCCGTAATTATTGGATCCATTGATAAAGATGAGCAAAACACACTGTATAAAATAAATAATGCAAATGTATGCCAAACAAAAAACAATGATTACAAAGTTAAACAAACCATACAACTCTATGCACAAAGACGACTTCTAACAATTTACATAGAAAATTTAACAAAAACACATTTACTTGAAAAACAGTGCAGATGCAAAGTTTGGTAACATTATGACTGTACCAACAGCACAAACCGTCATTCTGTTACCAAAATTTGCATCTGCACTGTTGTTCAAGTAAATGTGTTTTTGTATAAAATGTATGTGGAAACTGTTAAAGGTAGTCCTTGTGCATGATAGGGGTCAAAATTATTGGATCTGCTGTTTTCAGTACTCCAGCACCCCTCTCTTGCGAGGATAACGACACTGAGCCTTTTTCAAAAATGTTTTATGAGATTAGAGAACACATTGGGAGGGATCTTAAACCATTCCTTCATACAGAATCATTCCAGATCCTTGATATTCTTCATCTGCACTTATGGGAAGGCCCTCTTCAATTCAAACCACAAGTTTTCAATGGGGTTCAAGTCCGGAAACTGAAATTGCCATTGCAAAATTTAGATTTTGAGGGTCAATTAACAATTTCTTTGTGGATTTTGAGGTGTGCTTGTGGTTATTGTCTTGTTGGAAGATTAACTTGCGGCCACGTTTCAACCTCCCCTTGTTAAGGTCAATGGCATCATGAACTTTACCAAGTACCAGGACATTTGAGCCAAAAACCTGGTTGCCTCTGCCAGGAGGCTGACAGTTGGCCGCAAGTGGATCTTCCAGCAAGACAATAACCCCAAGCTCACATCAACATCCACAAATAAATGGTTAATTGACCACAAAATCAACATTTTGCAATGGCCATCTCAGTCTCCGGACTTGGTGGTTTGAATTGAAGAGGGCAGTCCATATGCGCAGACGAAGGATATCAAGGATCTGGAAAGATTCTGTATGGAGAAATGCTCTAAGATCCCTCTCAATATGTTCTCCAATCTCATTAAACATTTTAGAGATAAGCATTTTGTGACAACTGCTGATGTAAAAAGGGCTTTATAAAATACATTTGATTGATTTAAATTTGATTGAAAAGGCTCAGTTTTGTTATCCTAGCAGTGGGAGAGTGCTGGACTATTGAAAACGAAGATTATGATTTTTTTGTATTACTTTTTTTAAAATCAATGTTTTTGAGCATACAATTTAGCTCAGTATTTGTATTATTTATTTTATACAGTATTTATTGCTCATCTTTATCAAGGGATCCAATAATTCCAGACCCAACTGTATGTGGAAACTAAATAAACACAGGTGCAGTCATAGGGCAGTATTTTAACCATAATCACACACCAATCATTTTTCATAAGTACGGAGACCAACAGTAGTTTAAACTGTAGGCCTGATTAAGTTTTATGGAATCATGATGCCTCAGTGGTACCATTCACAACAGTTCCGGAGCCAGGTTTTTAAGGATTTGTTTCCTACTGCTTTGCAGAGAAGCCATATGTTGTAAAGCACCCGGAGGACAAAGTGCGTTACGAGGGACAGCGTGTGATGTTGTGCTGCAAGGCAACAGGGTCGCCCATGCCTGACAAATACTACTGGTAAGATAATGCATTTACTTTTAAGTGCCGGAAAAATCCTCCAAGTTTTATTTTAATCATGGCTAGATGCCATTATATTAAAGTTTAAATAGCTTATTAGAATGTTCTGTATAACTTTTTAATGGCATGTTCTCCTTTCCAGGTACCACAACGGGACCCTACTGGATAGGAATGTGTTTAAATACGAAGAGGATCTGGTGCTGAGAGGCCTGAAGCCAGAGCAGACAGGACATTACTACTGTAAAGTCAGCAGCCAAACAGGCAGCATCAAGTCTTCACAGGCATTCCTCACTGTTATCGGTATGTATAGACCTTATCCATCAAATCCTATACTAACTGTACCTATACTGTCCTTGTAGAAATGGACAGTATGGGAAGGATGCTGGAGTAAACTGAATGAGAAAGATAAAAAAAACTTATACTGTATCTGTTACAACTAAAGAAATACACCCAAGGAAAATAAGATCATAAAATATCAAGGGCCACAGAAACTGGCAGCACGTGAGCAGTAAGGTTTTATTATGTTTACATTGGTCGAAAGCAGCCTTTTCTAAACAAATATTATTTACAGAGAGATCACCCTGGACACGGTAAAAACCCAAATCCCAGTTCTTCAGAGCGCCACGTATTGAAGTGAAATCCAAGATTGACAATAAATCCTGTTCCTTTTTTTGTCAAGTCAGACAAGTATGCGTTTCCACATCCGTGCGGGATAGATACACATTGTGCGTATTCCCCAGTTGCTTGTTAGCCACGATATAGATTGACAAATAGGGTTTGTGGGGGAGTGTGCTAAAGCAATCAGCCTTGGGAAACAGCCTGAGAGATTTGCCCCTGTGAATAGAACAACAACACCTGGAACACCAAGGCTCTTAGTGGATAATGATGAACCTGCTTCACACTACCAGCCCAGTGTGGTTCCCTTCACTAGGGAACATTAGGCTACACTCCAGTTAATTAATAAAACAATTACATTCATTAATATTAAAAGACAGGACTACATATGTAGGATCTTCATTTGATCCCCCTGTTGCAGGAGAACTTTCCTGCAATGCAGGAAATGTCAAACTTGTAGTGTATTTGAGGTTTAAAAAGGCTTCTGAAGTTTTTTATTTCCACTTTGACATTTCAGACTTGATTTTCCGTTACGAAAAATGTATCAACCCTTACAAAAATGTCCATTAATTATAATCCACATAATAATTCAAATTTCTTATTGCTGCAGGATAATTTTCCTGCTGTGGCAAACTGGCTCAATTTAAGATCTTACATCTGTACCATTTTCTTATCGTTTCTTTTAGTTGTTGTAAATGTAATTCGTTTTTGAAAGAACGCAAAGGGACCAGGGACGGAAATTACACATTGGGCTAATCAGACTGTTCCATCTGTCTGCAATAATCTTCTTATTTGTAGGATGAGGAGTTTAACAGGAACACTGGAGCGTATACTCAGCCATGATTTCATGCACATTAATCATTTTGCCAACATTTGGGTGAACAATAATCCTTTCTTTCCAATTCCCATCTGGATGGTTGGTGAACAAATGTTCTCCCGAAGTTCACATCTAATTACCCCATTATGAATGCTTTGTAGTGCAACTTGGCTAATCATGGTTGTCGCTCAGCCATGTGGACAGAGAGAACATCTGTGTTTAAGTGAACACTTTACATTGCGTGCTATCTCCTTTACCATGTAGTTACCTGCATTATACCTTGGTAACCTCCCGAGTGGCGCAGTGGTCTAAGGCTGTGCCACTAGAGATCCTGGTTCGAATCCAGGCTCTGTCGTAGCCGGCCGCGACCGGGAGACCCATGGGGCGGCGCACAATTGGCCCAGCGTCGTCCAGGGTAGGGGAGGGAATGGCCGGCAGGGATGTAGCTCAGTTGGTAGAGCATGGTGTTTGCAACGCCAGGGTTGTGGGTTCGATTCCCACGGGGGGCCAGTATGAAAAAAAGAATAATGTATGCACTAACTGTAAGTCGCTCTGGATAAGAGCGTCTGCTAAATGACTAAAATGTAAAAATGTAAATGTAACCACAATGCAATTAACCAGCATTACATAACCACCAGATACCTATAAAAACAACACTACTCTTTTTCCACCGATAATAAAGGAAACTTCTAAATGTAGTTCATTGTTATTGCATACTAATTACACACAATTACACTAATGCTCCCTATAAAAATGAAATTCTAGATAATTACATGTCAATTTGGTTGATTAATGTGAAGTGTGACAGAGTGGGTAATTTGCATCTGTTTTTTGTATGAATTTATAAGTGAATGAGTAAATGTACTTCTATATGTGCATATGCATGTATGTTTACATCCATAAAACATAAGTGTACTCTCATTGCTAACTCTATGTGCTGTGTGTTCCACAGCTAAAGGCACACCGGCATGCAACCCCACTCCTGAGAACCACCTCATCAGACTGCCCATGGACTGTGTTCAGCCTGGGACGGACTCTAAGTTATACAACGCCGGCCGCTGCCCCCACAACAAGTGTGCAGGCTCCCTGGACTTCGACCTGCGCTGCAGGGATGGAGGTGGCTACTGCTGTGGGGTCCAGAAGATGGAGAGCCGGGTAATAGACTGTGGGAGTTACAGCCTGCCCATCAAGGCTGTAACTGAGTGTGGCTGCCAGAAGTGTGTAGTGCCCAAGGTGCTTGTACGTGGCAGGGTGGTCACAGCAGACAACAACGAACCACTGCGTTTCGGGCACATGTACATTGGCAAGGAGAGAGTGGGCACCACAGGGTACAAAGGAGGCTTCACACTCAATATAACCCCAGACACAGAGAGGCTGGTAGTCAACTTTGTGGATCCCACACAGAAATTCATTGACACTCCTAAGGTGTTTATCTTCGACAAGAGAGGGGGCTCTGTTTACCATGACGTGAAGGTGATGAGAAAGCAGGAACCCATTGATATCAACGCTGGAGAGACAAATACCATTTACTTAGGAGAAATCAAAGGGGAGGACCCCATTGGACAGATCATTATACCTCCAAATTCTTTCCACAAGAATAATGGGGAGGTGTACGAAGGTACAGTGAAAGCCAGTGTCACCTTCATTGACCCCAGGAACATCACCACAGCTGCTGCAGCGCCTGGTGACCTCAACTTTGTGGACGATGAGGGTGACATGCTTCCCCTGAGGACATATGGGATGTTTTCCGTTGACTTCAGAGATGAGGCGAACCAGGAAGTCCTGGGGGCTGGAGCGGTCCAAGTACTCTTAGACACGCAGCACGTCAAAATGCAAGAGCACATTCCCAAAATGAAACTGTGGTCCCTCAACCCAGACACAGGCGTCTGGGAGGAGGAGAGTGACTTTCACTACACTCAGGCCACATCTGGTGGTAATGGGAGGAGCAAGCGAGAGGAGCGCACTTTCCTCATAGGTAACATGGAAATCAGGGAGCGTCGACTTTTCAACCTGGACGTGCCTGAGAACCGCCGCTGCTACGTCAAAGTGCGGGCATACATGAATGACAAGTTCCTGAACACTGAGCAGCTGGAAGGTGTGGTCATCAGCCTGATAAACTTGGAGCCCAAGCCTGGCTTCTCCTCTAACCCCAGAGCATGGGGTCGCTTTGACAGTGTGATAACTGGACCCAATGGAGCCTGTCTGCCAGCCTTCTGTGACGCCAAGGTGCCTGATGCTTACACTGCTTATGTCACAGGCATTATGGGTGGTGAAGAGCTGGAGGCAGCTCCCTCAACCCCCAAGATGAACCCAAACATCATTGGAGTGTCTCAGCCATACTTAGACAAGATAGGCTACCAGCGTTCAGACCACGATGATCCAGCTCTCAAAAAAACAGCCTTCAGAATCAACTTGGCAAAACCCAACCCCAACAATGTGGAAGAGACCAATGGGCCAATATACCCCTATCAGAGTTTAATAGCCTGTGAAAATGCCGGAGTCGATGCCAACCACTTCCGATTCTTCAGAGTGGAAAAGGATAAATACGAATACAATGTTGTGCCCTTCCAAGAGAACGACTTAACATCGTGGACAGGTGACTACCTCTCCTGGTGGCCCAACCCTCAGGAGTTCAGGGCTTGCTACATCAAGGTCAAGATCCAGGGGCAAAAGGAGGTCATGATAAGGTCACAGAACCATGGAGGCACCCACCCTGAGACCGCAGGTCAGCTGTACGGTATCAGAGACATCCGCAGCACCCGTGACATGCATGTGGCCAACACTTCCGCAGCTTGCATCGAGTTCAAGTGCAGTGGCATGCTCTTCGACCAAGCCGCAGTCGACAGGTCCCTCATATCAGTCCTCCCACAGGGCAACTGTCGGAGAGTGGGCATCAACAGCCTGCTAAAGGAGTACCTGACCAAGCACCCCCCTACCTCACTGAACAACGAGTCCCATGCCTTCAACATGCTGGGCCCTGTTGACCCCTTGGGGCACAACTATGGCATCTACACGGTCACAGACCAGAACCCTAGGGTGGCAAAAGAGATCGCCATTGGACGCTGCTTTGACGGTACCTCTGACGGCTTCTCCAGAGAAATGAAGTCAGACACTGGGGTTGCTCTGACCTTCAGCTGCCCAGAAAGGACTGTGACCAGGGAGAGTCTCTTCCAACGCCTCCAGACGAACCCCAGCCAGACCCTGTCTCAGATGGCCCGGGACATGCGGGAGACACAGGGGCTACAGGTCCGAGGAAGGTCCTCCCGGGTGGTGACCTACCCCTCTGGGTCCACCAGCCGCAGATCCAGCTCCTCTACCAGGAGGAGATCCATGATGCGGGCACAACAGGACAGGCAGTAGATCTGCCGTTAGGTGAGTTCCCATTTTTTGTTGAGCCACAGATTGAAAAATGTTAGTGCGTGCAAAGTTTTCCTAACACCTTTCAATCTACTCTTAGATCTTTGGGTTGGAAATTAAGAAGATGGCGTCCTCACAATCAAAGAAGGAAATGTCAAGTTGGGTCAGCTTGGTGATGTTGGATGTGAACTTTCTCTGAACAGCACGGTACTCTATTGAAACAGTCACCACTCCAGTAAAACATCACGGAGGAGAGAAATTAAGACATTTATTTTCTCTGAAACTTACTTGAAGGGTTTGGCAATAAATATCAGTATTCATTTTATTCCTTGAGAAGAAGTAAATTTCTTTAGCTTTCATCAGTCCAGCAAAGGACGTTAATTGAATAGGTGTTAATAGCCTTTAATGAATGAAACGACAAAATCAATTTCTGAGAAATCAAGTTTTATATTTGGATTTGTAGCGTTTCACATGAACCATTGTGGCCGTCTTTTCTGATGTCTATGATTGCTTGAGTTATAACCAACTGCAACTGTAAAAGCCAGTCTAAATGCTAAACACTTCGTAATTGGCCAACGCTTTCCATTGCACTCATTAGTCCCTCAAGATCAGAGGAACATCAGGACCTAGTGATCCAGTCTGTTTGTAACAGACAGTGGGCCCCTTTTCTAGAAACTGGGAAGTATTCTCTGCCAAGAAGAGGCCTATTTAAGAGGATGCATTGGGGTGCAAGGAATTATCGCATCTGTGGAACAGAGAACGATTTTTAGTACCCTTGTTTCTAGCTTTTTTAAATGTATTTTTAATTAGCATGTCACATTGCCAACTGCGATCCAGACAAACCTAACTACAACATGCATCAGGACGCTAGCCAAGACAAGCATCCCTTAACAAAACGGATCTCAGCAGTAGACTAAACAGAGCCTGTGGTATCGGACCTGGGAGAAGAGATTGTGAGGAATGACACAATTACCTTCAGTCCTTACTTCCCACAAAGTCCCCAAGTACTCATCCAACACACCTCTCTGTCTGTTCTTCAACATCCCTTCAACGTTACTGTCAGGAATGTAAAAAACAAAACAAATCAACAACAGACATGAAAACCCTATTTATACATAGCAGAGAATTAGCTAGACTAATTCTGAGACTAAATTGACTGTGTTGTTGTTTGGTGTGGGGGTGTCTGTCTTTGTCTCATGTACAATCGCTATATTCTATTTTGACTTGAGAGCCCTTGCAAATCATGACGTGACAAGTCAATATTCTGCACTTGGTACTGCTGGTAAATAGGGTAAATCCTTCAGTAAGTTTGGCTGTGGTATACTTAAGCAATAAGGCCAGAGGAGGTGTGTTATATCGCCAATATACCACGGCTAGTGCTGTTCTTATACACGATGCAACGCAGAGTGCCTGGATACAGCCCTTAGCCATGGTATATTGGCAATATACCACAAATCCCTGAGGTGCCTTATTGCTATTATAAACTGGTTACCAAGGGACTGTAATTAGAGCAGTAAAAATACATGTTTTGTCATACCTGTGGTATAACGTCTGATATACCACGGCTTTCAGCCAATCAGAAATCAGGGCTTGAACCACCCAGTTTATAATAAGGATATTTGTAAGGGAGCTCGTAGAGGATTCCATTGCATTTTGAATTACAGTGAATAACCATAATTCAAATGTTAGGTCATCGTTTTACATAGTCAGTGTCATGTACACTACCGGTCAAAAGTTTTAGAACACCTACTCATTCAAGGATTTTTCTTTATTTTTACTATTTTTTACATTATAGAATAATAGTGAAGACATCAAAACTAGGAAATAACACATATGGAATCATGTAGTAACCAAAGAAGTGTTAAACAAATCAAAATATATTTTATATTTGAGATTCTTCAAATAGCCACCCTTTGCCTTGATGACAGCTTTGCACACTCTTGGCATTCTCTCAACCAGCTTCAAGAGGTAGTCACCTGGAATGCATTTCAATTAACAGGTGTGCCATCTTAAAAGTTCATTTGTGGAATTTCTTTCCTTCTTAATGCATTTGAGCCAATCAGTTGTGTTGTGACAAGGTAGGGGTGGTATACAGAAGATAGCCCTATTTGGTAAAATACCAAGTCCATATTATGGCAAGAACAGCTCAAATAAGCAAAGAGAAACGACAGTCCATCATTATTTTAAGACATGAAGGTCAGTCAATACAGAACATTTCAAGAAGTTTGAAAGTTTCTTCAAGTGCAGTCGCAAAAACCATCAAGCGCTATGATGAAACTGGCTCTCATGAGGACCAACACAGGAATGAAAGACCCAGAGTTACCTCTGCTACAGAGGATAAGTTCATTAGAGTTAACAGCCTCATAAATTGCAGCCCAAATAAATGCTTCACAGAGTTCAAGTAACAGGCACATCTCAACATCAACTGTTCAGAGGGGACTGTGAGAATCAGGCCTTCATGGTCAAATTTCTGCAAAGAAACCACTACTAAAGAACACCAATAAGAAGAAGAGACTTGCTTGGGTCAAGAAACACGAGCAATGGACATTAGACCGGTGGAAATATGTCCTTTGGTCTGGAGTCCAAAAGGGAGATTTTTGGTTCCAACTGCCGTGTCTTTGTGAGACGCGGTGTGGGTGAACAAATTATCTCCGCATGTGTATTTCCCACCGTAAAGCATGGAGGAGTAGGGGTTATGGTGTGGGGGTGCTTTGCTGGTGACACTGTCTGTGATTTATTTAGAATTCAAGGCACACTTAACCAGCATGGCTACCACAGCATTCTGCAGCGATACGCCATCCCATCTGGTTTGGGCTTAGTGGGACTATCATTCGTTTTTCAAAAGGACAATGACCCAACACACCTCCAGGCTGTGTAAGGGCTATTTGACCAAGAAGGAGAGTGATGGAGTGCTGCATCAGATGACCTGGCCTCCACAATCCCCTGACCTCAACCAAATTGAGATGGTTTGGGATGAGTCAGACCGCAGAGTGAAGGAAAAGCAGCCAACAAGTGCTCAGCATATGTGGGAACTCCTTCAAGACTGTTGGAAAAGCATTCCAGGTGAAGATGGTTGAGAGAATGCCAAGAGTGTGCAAAACTGTCATCAAGGCAAAGGGTGGCTATTTGAAGAATCTCAAATATAAAATATATTTGATTTGTTTAACACTTTTTTGGTTACTACATGATTCCATATGTGTTATTTCATAGTTTTGATGTCTTCACTATTATTCTACAATGTAGAATTCTACAATGTACAACCGGTAGTGTATATTTCTGCAATCTGCTCCGATAATAACTTTTTCATATCTTGCTGTATGAATCAAACTTTTAGCAATAAGTGTACAATCATATTTTCAGCTACAGAGAACACAGTATCTTTCCAGAGGGAGAAATACATCTAAACTGTACTATTTTCCAATAGCAACTAAACAACAACTTATTACTAGAGTTAAGTTGCAGACACACCGTAGACTATTACAGGACCAATTCCATGTGTTTCCCAATGGGAAAATACATTCTGGCCGAATGAATCTTTATTCAAACAATCCCTCAGAATAACCAATTATGAGCATGCCATCTTTCTACCCCTCACTGAGTATCAGTTTTAGAGGCTCTCCGGTGCTTTGGCATTACAGTGGCAAGTGGGAAGACGTTCAAAGAGGCCTATTTAATTGGATTCTGTAATTGGAGGAAAGTTCCCCATTGATAATAGGTCCAAACTTGTTTATCTATGTAGTGGGTGGCTATGGGTCCCTTCAGACCACTGGAGAGCTCCTAGGCTGAACTAATCCAAAACCAAATGAGTGCCTGTGGACCACAGAGGAGGCAAACAGGTCTGGCATGTAATTATCAGCCCCATCATTAATTAGGAAATAAATGACCTATATTCTTGAGGGCACTTGGAAGAGTTTGACCAAGTCTTTCATAAACAGCCAAACAAGTTGATTTCCAGACTGCAGTTGGATATAATTTAGGCCCAAAAGGTCTATTGTCGAGTACGTTCAGCATTAAAATGACCCTACTGTTAAATTAGATGAAATTTCAAGGTGTTTTCATACATTTTAGTAAGCAAAACCTCTGCACATTTTATTGTACATAAGAAAATGAGTTCCGATTTGCAACAGACCTGAAGCGACTGTAGCATCAGCCAAAAATAGAAACATTAAATAGATGTAACACATGTACTTTGAGATCAAATAGATTATACAAATCTATTGTAAATTGCCTCTGAAAAGCAACATGTGGAAATGATGGTTTATGGTCCTCTAGTGATTATCAATGACCTCTACCATCATGGGCCTGTTAAGCCATCTTATTATGGACAGTGCAGCAGTCCATGAAAATAAACCAAACAGCTTTTTTGGAGCAGACTGTTGCAGCAAAGCTGGGTCCGCATGTGAGAAGATAACTCCCAACTCTTATTCACCACAGAATGGCGTGAGAGCTATTGGACTGGAAGACATGTAGTACCAAAGACATCCAGAGGAGTAATTTGTGAGAGAAGGAGGAGATTATCTTGTCATAGATTTTAATAATTAGAGGGAGCTGTTGGAGAGAAAAAAATGAAAAAATAAGTGGTCTTTGACCTTGCTGTCCATCACTTATCTGAAGCTGAAGCGGTCTCATATTGAAGTAGACCATTTAAAGGAAAAGTGCACTGACAAGTTGAATGGTAGATGTTTCATAGAGAGGCTATGGGGGGAGGTTGAGATACAGAGCAAGTCTAACTGCCAATGTTACGTAACACATCACATGAGAAAAATAGTAAGGAATATCCAAACAGTCTCTGTCTTTCAGAGGATTTCAAAGAAGATCTGTAAGAGCTGTAATATTTTTTTAATGAGTTGAAAATAATGTTGGGAGTTTCCTAACTCATATAGAGAATGTTTTCCCATTCAAATGTAGAAACTTGACAATTTGTGGAAGAAATCGTGAAAAAAATCATTTTTAATACAGAAGTAATAGCCAAATGACATGATCCCCTATGATTCCAGACACTGTTTCAGGTTCTAACAATTCCAAGACAGGTCCATGCTTCACAATTCACGTAAGTGATTAAATAACAATTCAAAAACTTCACAATTCAAAATGTTCTCGGTTTTCACCAATTCTCCATGGTAATTCATCAGTCTCGTATTACTACTCGTTCTGTCGAATACTAGGCTTGTAGACTGACTGACACTATACAGCCCTGCCTTGGCCTCAGGTTGTTTTCCGAGTGTGCCTGTGCCATCAGCATGAGTGCACGCATCTGTCCTCTCCTGTACTGTCTGGCTGCTCTGAGGGAGACTGTAACTTATTTAGGAATATCCTCTGGCGAAGCGAGCGATGGATATTTCCACCATTGCCTAGCCTATAAAGAGAGACTTGTATAGTTGCCACTGTGCTCTGGGAGATGTCTTGGGCCCCATAAACGCATTATATAAATCAATTGCTGAGAATTCTCTGTAAATCATTATGTAACATGTATTGCATGGCGTTGCCCATTTGTTTTTGTTTTGCATATGTTTTTTATGTGTAAATTGTGTATTGTATGAAATGTACTAAATGTATGAGGAATTGTAAATAAACCTTTGCTGTAAACTGTTCTGGTGATATTATGTCCTGATTTGATACATTTGATATGTATTAATGATTGCGCTGGAAACATATGATATCATTATTTTATTTTCAAAAAAGCCATCAGTAAAAGGACATATTCCATTGTACTGTAGTACTAAAACGTGACATACCGTGAGATTAAATTGAAATAAAACATCAAATGAAGGGATAACTGGGTTGCATAATTCATAACATCCACATCAATAACAAGACTGTCATAACAATGAATATAAAATGGTATGAACAACCATATAAGCAGCTTAATGAGAGACATATACATTTTAAACAGTAGCCAAAAAACACATGACAAAAATAGAGCTTTGCATATGAGAGACAAACGTTAGGTAATAGCCTACATTGCAAAGTTCTGACATCAACGATGGGTCCCCTAATGTCTAAGGACAACCTGTGAATGTAATCCAATACAATAAACAACAGATTATTCGGAAACGTCTGGATCCACAAAATGTGAAAACCACTCTTGGACTGTACACGCCAGCCCCAGTAAAAGGTGATTGCTCTACCAAACACACAATGGCTGCATCTCAATGGTCAGTGAATATTACCCCTCAGGTGATGAATAATTAAACACGAGGCACAGGTCCTATCCACACAGCACTCGACGCTAATGGAAATATTATTGTAATAAAGTCGCACAACAGGGGAGGCTATGAGGAGGGAAAACTAGAATGGCAAGCCACACTTTTACTGACACCTTTTTGGCAAACTCTGTAATGTCAGAGTGAGAAAATGTAGTGGATAGAAGATGTAGTGAATGTTGTTGCCAGTGAAGACGAAGAGGAGGCATAAAAAACCCAAGTAGCAACAATAACACATTTCTCTTGACTGAATAGTGCATTTCAGGTCCTGAGTCTCCTCTGACACCTGTTGACCAGTCTTCCCTTTGCCATTGCGTCAGTAGGGAAGAACACGTCTGTGCATTGGCCAAAGGGGAAATGCTGACAGGGCTTTAATAAATACTTATTACTGGACCATAACCAGTAATAATTACAGGACCATTCATGTTTGTTCCCTTGGATCTCAGCTAGGTACTACAAATGGCCGGCACCAGTTTAGGTGGGGGTCATATAGCTGAGCTGAGGTTTCCATTCTCTCTCTGGGCTACTGCAGGGATCACTTCATTCCATTCAAAACCTCACCACTCAGCAAAATGAATACATGTTTTACTGTAGCTGTAACTTTACAGTAGCTATTAATAGCTTCAGTTATCTTTTCTCTGAGGAAGAAAAGTTCACCTGAGGTGAACCAAATGCATTGATGGAACGTATGTGAGGTCAAATACTGGGCATTGTTTAGGCTGTTATTGTACGTCCGCTGTTAAACGGTTGAGGTAAAATAATGAAAATCTTTGCATATAAGGGCATTCAAAATGTGGGACCCTGTTTTGGACCTCAGTTACCTCACATTAGTTTCAGTGATAATACTCTTCCACCTTACAGTAATGCATTTTAAAGGTGTGAAGATGAGCTGTTGACACTTCCCTACTAAAATGTTCCATATTCCCAGTAGTCCTTAAAGCGCCAGTCAGATGTACATATTGGAATTATAATTTAGAAAATACAATATGTATAAACCTCCACAGATTCCCTAAGAGCCAGTTACACTGAGGATTTGCGATATATTGAGGGAGGGGAGAATAGAAATGTACTTAACTTGAACAGCGGCTAATACATAATGTCTGTTGAACGTCTGATCGGTTATCAAGATCAGCAACCTCTTCTCTATTTCACTGCCAGCGGATGGCTACCATCCCAGTGTCTCAGACAAAAAGAAACTCAAACAAAAAGATGATGTCATATCTCTTCCCTTCAGACGATCCTCTTGATAATGACCCTGAGTACAACATTGCCAGATCCGAGTGGAAAAAGGTCTGTGATGATCATATAAGGCAAGGAATGTCTCAGATGGCTTGGGTTTGTAGAATAAATCTTAAAAATAGCCAGGATTGCTACAGGCAGTTCCATATGGATTGCCCAGGCTTGCAACAGGTTTTAGGCAGCAGTTCAGCTCTTCTTGCTCGATGGGAAGGGCTGTAATGAGAGAGGGCTTGTGTGCTTCACAAACACACTGCCATCCTCCAATTTGACTTTGTACACTTGTTGCTAAAACAGACAAACACATAAAACAAAGGATATGTGACAGCTGGAAAAATTGAAAAGAAACACAACACCTTGATTGTGAGCTTTGCCATGAGCAGAGAGCACACTCGGGGCAGAACGTGTCAGAACACTCAATATTGCTGTCACACTGGGCCAATTTAGTTTTTCACACATTGCACTGATTAGGAATACACATTTTGAAATGTTGAGCAAGTCAACACAAGGACATACCAACACGGAGCTACTGGCACTTTTTAAAGGCAACAGTGAGTGGTTCCAACATCCAAGAAACCCCCCAAACACCTCATCTGACAGTTATGTTAACTTTGGACATTGGACCCCATGGTGATTTTAACAAAATAATTTATAACAATCACAGGGAATTTAATCCTTGTTTTTGCTCCTACATAGAATTATAAAGAGAAACAAATTGCTTGTATTTCCAGTAATTCATTGACATGAATGGGTGGTGAGAAATGTATTGAAAAAGTGACGTGTATAAGGAGGTCATGCACCCTCTTGGAACATTATAGGAAACGCAGAATCTTCCCTCCCTCCTTCAAATAATCATTGACCAGGATAGTGACCACGAAAAGCTCTCCGTCATCGCTTTCTCATATCCATTCATGCCAACTGAATTTCAAGGAGGAAGGGTGAGGGAGGGAAAGGAGCCTATTGTTGTCACGGATCGTAGCTCAGTTGGTAGAGCATGGCATTTGCAACGCCAGGGTTGTGGGTTCGATTCCCACGGGGGGCCAGTATGAAAAAAATAATGTATGCACTCACTAACTGTAAGTCGCTCTGGATAAGAGCGTCTGCTAAATGACTAAAATGTAAATATAATAGGCTAAGGCTGCAGATCTTGGTCAAGGCTTAGAGAAGTGTGCATTGCAACTGTGGTGAAGTTTGTTTCATGTTTAGTTTAATTGCATATCATTCTGGGTTTGTGAAAGTGTAGGTTGGTTTATTGGTTGGTCTACATTGGTTGGTAGACTCACCTGTAAACCAGTCCCTGATTGTCCTGTCCTGAGGTTAAAGTCATAGTCATGCCAGGGGCAGAAGACCTGCAGAATACCATCTGCATCCTCGATGTCTCCATCACACAGCGGACCACCTGTCAAAGACAGCACACTACATGAATAACAGTTTCCTCTGGAAGTCTAATAATGTGATCTGATGTCATATTTCATTTTGTTGAAGAGCAATATCATCAAAGAGAATTTAACTCCAGAGATGTTGACATTACTGGAAAGAAGGCAAGTTGAAATGCAGTACACTGTAACACCTACATGCATTTTACTTGTTTTGTCTGGCCTTTTGATACACTCCTTTAACTTATTTCATAACATAAATCATGCTTATGAGTGAGCACTTGCCTTCCATGCATTTTTCGACTCTTTCAGTATCTTACCATTTTATACCCAAAATGAATGTTCCAGTTTTAATCTATTTCCTACGAAAACAGTTTATTCGTGTTTTTGTTATTCATAGCTTCAAAAAAAGCATGATATGCATATGGCTATCGATTTCTATAGAATTTCAGCGTATTGTGTCTAGCCTATAGCCCTGAGATATAGCGAGTGGAATGTAAAGTGAGGCATATGTGGTTACCGGAGTGAGCGCAGCGAGCATCCATGGCGAAGAATTCCCCTTTCACATAGAACAGGCAAACATCGGAGCCGTAGCCGAGGGAGGAGTGCATCAAACGGCACTGCTTCTTGGAAAGCTCGGAGGCTGGGCCTATTAGCCTCCATGAAACGCTACCCACACTTTCCTCTTCATTCCCAGACGCCATTTAAAGAAATTGGGAATATCCGTTATTTGCGCTACTTGTTATAAACTCCCTTTACCGCCTCCACTGACTGCGCATTTTAGAATTGACTGTTTTATGTGAGAATATTCCATAACATAAAACAAACTGGCCTCGGGATCCGGTAGTCTCGTCATGTCATCTGCGTTCATCAGAACATTAGAAGATTTCAAGACACAGGTCAAGCGACTCACCAGAGATGACAGATTATTTTTAATAGGGTGAACTGAATGTATGGCCACCGTTAAATGTCAGGTCATTTATTTTTTGCACACTGTTCAGTAAGCCTAATACATTTCAGGAAAAGGCATTTGATTTGAATCATACTGCCATAGGTTACATTTTAGTCATTTAGCAGACGCGCTTATCCAGAGCGACTTAGTTAGTGAATTCATGTTTTTTTGTTTGTTTTGTGGGGGGTTTTCATACTGGACCCCGGTGGGAAACGAACCCACATCCCTGCCGGCCAAACCCTCCCCTACCTTGGACGACGCTGGACCAATTGTGCGCCGCCCATGGGTCTCCTGGTCGCGGCCGGCTGCGGCAGAGCCTGGATTCGAACCAGGATCTCTAGTGGCACAGCTAGCACTGCGATGCAGTGCCTTAGACCACTCAAACAAAACAATATGGAACCGGTGCTATAGCCTAAATGTAACTCTAATTTGAAACCCAATAACACTGGCTCTTCAAATGTGGGAATATCATACATTCGAAATCAGGGCCAGATAACGGAATGGGCACATAGGGCATATGTCTCGAGGCCCCACCTCCAGGAGACCCCCAACCAAAGGTTATTATTATTTAAATGTTTTATTTTTGGGGGGTTGCGGGGGTCGGGGGCCCCCCCAGATAGCGTATGATAGCAAAATGTGTAGAATAGCAGGAAATTTGCTTTAAAACGCCAAATTTCTCTCTCAGCCTCATGGCAAAATGTGAACAATAGCATGAGATGAGCTATAAAACTGCACATTTTTATCTCTGACCCATTGCTAAAAGTGTAGAATTGCAAGAAATTTGCTTTATTACTACAATATTTTCTCATAGCCTCATGACAAAATGTGTAGAAGATGCAAGTTCAACATTAAGCTCAGGGCCCTGGGTCTGAACCCCACCCTGTGCAACTGGATCCTGGACTTCCTGACGGGCTGCTACCAGTTGGTGAAGGTAGAAACAACACCTCCACTACGCTGATCCTCAACTCAGGGGCCACACAAGGGTGTGTGCTCAGCCCCCTCCTGTACTCCCTGTTCACCCATGACTGCGTGGCCACGCACGCCTCCAACTCGATCATCAAGTTTGCAGACGACACAACAGTGGTAGGCCTGATTACCAACAATGACGAGACAGCCTACAGGGAGGAGGTGAGGGCTCTGGTGGAGTGGTGCCAGGAAAATAACCTCTCCCTCAACGTCAACAAAACGAAGGAGCTGATCGTGGACTTCAGGAGACAGCAGAGGGAGCACGCCCCCATCCACATCGACGGGACCACAGTGGAGAAGGTAAAAAAAAGCTTCAAGTTCTCCGGCGTACACATCATTGACAATTTGAAATGGTCCACCCACACAGACAGTGTGGTGAACAACGCCTCTTCAACCTCAGGAGACTGAAGAAATTCGGCTTGGCTCCTCACAAACCTTTACAGATGCACCATTGAGAGCATCTTGTCGGGCTGTATCACTGCCTGGTATGGCAACTGCACCGCCCGCAACCGCAGGGCTCTCCAGAGGGTGGTGCGGTCTGCCGAACGCATCACCGGGGACACACTGCCTGCCCTCCAGGACACCTACAGCACCCGATGTCACAGGAAGGCCAAAAAGATCATCAAGGACATCAACCACCCGAGTCACGGCCTGTTCACCCGGCGATCATCCAGAAGGCGAGGTCTTTACAGGTGCATCAAAGGTGGGACCGAAAGACTGAAAAACAACTTCTATCTCAAGGCCATCAGACTGTTAAATACCCATCACTAGCCGGCCTCCACCCAGTTCCCTGCCCTGAACTTAGTCACTGTCACTAGCCGGCTACCACCCAGTTATTCAACCCTGCACCTTAGAGGCTGCTGTCCCCGGTGATGCGTACAGTGCATTCGGAAAGTATTCAGACCCATTGACTTTTTCCACATTTTGTTACGTTACAGCCTTATTAAGAAATTGATTAAATTGTTTTTTCCCCCCTTATCAATCAAAACACAATACCCCATTATGACAAAGCAAAAACAGATTTTTTAAACAGAAATATCACATTTACATAAATATTCAGACCCTTTGCTCAGTAATTTGTTGAAGCACCTTTGCAGCGATTACAGCCTCGAGTCTTCTTGGGTATGATGCTACAAGCTTGGCACACCTGTATTTGGGGAGTTTCTCCCATTCTTCTCTGCAGATCCTCTCAAGCTCTGTCAGGTTGGATGGGGAGCGTCACTGCACAGCTATTTTCAGGTCTCTCCAGAGATGTTCGATCGTGTTCAAGTCGGGGCTCTGGCTGGGCCACTCAAGGACATTCAGAGACTTGTCCCGAGGCCACTCCTGTGTTGTCTTGGCTGTGTGGTTAGGGTCGTTGTCCTGTTGGAAGGTGAACCTTCGCCCCAGTCTGAGGTCCTGAGCGCTCTGGAGCAGGTTTTCATCAAGGATCTCTCTGTACTTTGCTCCGTTCATCTTTCCCTTGATCCTGACTAGTCTCCCAGTCCTTGCCGCTGAAAAAATCCCCACAGCATGATGCTTCACCGTAGGGATGGTACCAGGTTTCCTCCAGATGAGACGCTTGGCATTCAGGCCAAAGAGTTTCATCTTGGTTTCATCAGACCAGAGAATCTTGTTTCTCATGGTCTGAGAGTCCTTTAGGTGCCTTTTGGCAAACTCCAAGTGGGATGTCATGTGGTTTTACTGAGAAGTGGCTTCCATCTGGCCACTCTACCATAAAGGCCTGATTGGTGGAGTGCTTCAGAGATGGTTGTACTTCTGGAAGGTTCTCCCATCTCCACAGAGGAACTCTGGAGCTCTGTCAGAATGACCATCTGGTTCTTGGTCACCTTCCTGACCAAGGCCCTTCTCCCCCGATTGCTCAGTTTGGCCGGGAAGCCAGCTCTAGGAAGAGTCTTGGTGGTTCCAAACTTCTTCCATTTAAGAATGATGGAGGCCACTGTATCTTGGGGACCTTCAATGCTGCAGATATTTTTCTGTACCATTCCCCATATCTGTGCCTCGACACAATCCTGTCTCGGAGTTCTATGGGCAATTCCTTCGACCTCATGGCTTGGTTTTTGCTCTGACATGCACTGTCAACTGTGGGACCTCATATAGACAGGTGTGTGCCTTTCAAAATCATATCCAATCAATTTAATTTACCACAGGTGGACTCCAAATCAAGTTGTAGAAACATCTCAATGATGATCAATGGAAACAGGATGCGCCTGAGCTCAAATTCAAGACTCATAGCAAAGGGTCTGAATATTTATGTAAATAAGGTATTTCTGTTTTTTATTTTTAAGAAATTTGCAAACATTTCTAAAAACCTGTTTTCGCCTTGTCATTATGGGGTATTGTGTGTAGATTGATGAGGAAAAATTGTAATTTAATCCATTTTAGAACAAGGCTGTAACGTAACAAAATGTGGAAAAAGTCAAGGGGTCTGAATACTTTCTGAATGCACTGTACATAGAGATGGAATCACTAGTTACTTTAATAATGGAACACTGGTCACTTTAATAATGTTTGCATACTGTTTTACTCATTTAATATTTATATACTGTATTCTACTGTATTCTAGTCAATGCCACTCCGACATTGCTCGTCCTAATGTTTATATATTTCTTAATTCCATTATTTTACTTTGAGATTTGTGTGTATTGCTGTGAATTGTTAGATACTACTGCACTGTTGGAGCTAGGAACACAAGCATTTCGCTACACCCACGATAACATCTGCTAAATATGTGTATGTGACCAATAACATTTGATTTAATTTAGAATAGCATTATAAAACAGAGATCAGTGCCCCGGGGCCCCAAATGCAGTAGTCTGGCCCTGATTATAATCTCATTCATTATGCCTGGGATCAGTGACAGAACCCACTACTGCCTTTCCTGTTTATAGCTCAGTTAAAAATAGTTTAGGCCTACATGTAATATGTAACATATTTGCTCATTTTATGTCTCAGATTAGAACACCCCATATAGTTGTCATACAGTAATATATCTGCCCACTGAATACAATACAGCTGAGGACAACACTATTTCAGGGGTAGAAACAGCACATTGGAAGTCCTTTTGTACTGTGTGGCAAATTTTATATAGTGAGCAAATAGTTCAAAACAATTTTCTCAATTATCAATTATAGTGCTTATTATTCCCTTTGGATTTCAGACTTTCCATAATTTGGTAGAAGCCAGACTGGCTCTGTCCGGTATTTGGCAAGGGGACATCCTCAGGTTGACTTTCCCACACTGTGGACTGTTAACATTTATTAATGTGCCATTACTGAAATGTCTTAATATTCCAAATGCTTTGTTTCTACCCTATGACATATTAGTTATGAAGAGACTATAACTATGATGTCATTAGATAATGTATAATTTCCTGCATGGCCCAATGTAAGATATCATCCATGTAATTGAATTATGGTATTAAAAAAAAAACGAGTCTGCTAGATGGTTAACTTTGATGTAGCTTTATGTACTGGACGGAAATATGATTATGATGTGATTGAAACGTTCGGAGGATGTCACTTCATAAAGGCCACAGTTATTATATGTTCTATTATAGCCTAAATAGGTCTACTCCGGATTAAAGTTTATATAAAGTGTCCAGTATGGAGAAAGTCATTCATCATCAAAAAATCCAAAGACCCAAAACCAATGAATCATGAATACATAAAACAGATGTTATGGTTTTCCTTTGGTACCAAGAGACATTTTAACATCTTCTTATGCTAATCACAATTTTATGTGTGTTGTCTAAAATTTACATATTGGCTACTTCTTATGATCTGTGTTTCTTCAGCTTTTATTCACTCTGTTTCCATCTCTATAATGGTAATAGCCCTACTGTATGCTGGCAGTAGCTAAGTGATATTAGTAGGTAACTGTCTAGTAGCACAACCCAAAACAGAGGCCCCTTGTTCTGACCTCTTAACTACTTCCACAGGCAGGCCGGTTTGACCTCAGTGAAAGCACATGCTTTTAGTAGTAATTCTATATGCTGTGTGGAGAAAAATATGCATGGAAATAATAAATCAGTCACCA